TATATATATATTTAATATTTTTTTACAAATATTTTATTTTAATGATTTTTCTTCCTCTCTTTTCATTAATCTTTATTATTTTCCATATTTTCTCCTTATTTTTAACTTTCTTTATCCTCTTTATTTTTTTGCTGATTGCAGCAATTTAGTTGTAAATTGAAATACCATTCATAAGATTTCAATCATAATCTAACTGAGATCAAATTAGAGTTTTGACATACGAACCATTTCGTAGACTCAATTGAAAAGCTAAGTGTATGATGGTAATATAAAGCTGATGAGAGTTTTGCGTTTTCGTTTTTATAAAAAATGTATTTTATTTTAAGTATTTTATATAAATTTTAGAAGTACTATTCACATACTATTTATTCATTCAATTTTTTAAGTGTAAGTTATTTAAGAATAAAAACTTTAATTTTTTTAATCGGAAAATTTTGCAATTTTATCTTTTAAATAGGAATAAAATTTTTTAAAAAAATATTACATTATTATACTTTTTATGCCCAAGAAATGCTTTAGATACTTATAATCATTTATTTTCTACTTTCATTTCTTTTTCAATTTATTCCTTTTTTTTTGACAAGGATAATATTAAACTTTTGTTGAAGTTTTCAGAACAAAATTTAATAACAATTAAAAATTTTATGACAAAATTAAAAAAAACAGTTACTTTATTAAATAATTTTAAATTTCAAAAATGAATAAAATTAGTAAACTTAAAAAATAAATTTTCAAAAAAATATACTTAAATTAAAAAAAAATTTAAAAATTAAGTTTTCGTAACATTAAATTTTCAAAATAACATAAATTGAACAAAACATATTAATTGGTAATCAATTTTTTTAGAAAAGAAAATTAAAGTTTTTTTCAGATGCTCTCTTTTTAAGTCCGATCGTCGAAGTTTAAATACTTGGAAAGATAAATAAGTAAAAGTGTAAATGAATAATATTAAATGAAAGTAGTGATAATAAATAATAATAATAAATAATATAAAAAGTATATTAATAAATAAAGGTAGTGATTTTAAGTAAGATAAAAGATATTGCCCCGAGATCACTTAAGATCGTCTGAAAAATAGTCAATTTAGCAAACGAAATTTATTACAGCAGGTAAAGTTTATTGCTGCTAAGTAATTTATTTCGATATAAAGGAAATATTATTTTTTGTTTTTGTGCATAACCCAAGTTTGGCGTCTTAATCTTGTCGATTTACAGTGCTTCGAAATTTTTCTTTCTGGAAAAAGAAGGCATTAGTCTTCTCCTTTAACTTCAACTATCCTTCTTCTATGCCTAGAAGGATAGTTGGATTTCGATATAAAGGAAATATTATTTTTTGTTTTTGTGCATAACCCAAGTTTGGCGTCTTAATCTTGTCGATTTACAGTGCTTCGAAATTTTTCTTTCAGGAAAAAGAAGGCATCAGTCTTCTCCTTTAACTTCAACTATCCTGCATGCCTAGAAGGATAGTTGGAAAGAATAGTTGATTAGTTAAGAAAACAGTTAACTTTTAAAATTTAATTTGTTATAATAGCAAGAATAGCTTTGTGATACGAAAAATGTTCCAAAAAGAAGCCCCTTTATATATATTTTTAAAATCAGTATAAAAAAATTTATTCAAAAAAATCAGGCTTGAAAGAACAAAATGAGAAAGAAATTTTTTTTTTCATAATCTGACTAATTACTATCGAGGCTAATTTTGGTAGAGGAAGGATTCGTAAACATTTAAAACCGGGTTGTTTTACGATTCAGGAATGAAATAATCCCTCGAAGGACGACTGCATTCTTAAACGACAGTCTTCTGTTGGTTGAATCTACAGAAGACTTTACCACTCGGATTAGCATTGCGATTGCAGATATTGATGAAATCCCAAAAATTTTCCGACGTAATCTTCTTATTATGTGATTCACTAAGAATCAATATGAATTTAAATATTCCGAGATGTGAATCCATTTCATTAATGTCTGCTCGTAGTCATTCCTTTGAAGATTTCGTATAAAGTTTTTAATTGCAAGGATTCATAGAATCTGTTGTATTTTCTACTTTCACCAAGCAAGTGTCATCTAAAGGTCTGGTTTCTTAGGACAAGCGCCTTATCTGGGCGTCAGCGGAACGTCAACGTCCCGCTAACGCCAACAAAATACTGGTTTGTTAGCTCAAGGCTTGGTTTCTTAGGACAAGCGCCTTATCTGGGCGTCAGCGGAAAGTTGATATAGAGCTGATGCCAAAAAAAAACTTTTTTGTTAGCTCAGCTTGAGCAGTCGGTCCAACGCAGACATTACCTCTCATTGCGCATGCGTTAATAACGTAAACAAATATTTATTTTGAATTTGTATTGATTTTGTTATTGTCGACCAGTGTTTTAGAGAACAAATAATGACTTTGTCCAAGAAAAAACACATTATAGCTGAGCTAAATGAAGAGTGTTATGTTTAATGAAGAAGCTGTGTTTAATGTCAAAATCAAAATCTTGGCTGATTTCAATGTGCTGTTGGATGTTGTCCGCCATTGCTTCTGTGGTTAACGTCACGTTGTAATCCAACTGCAGTTGAGTTGGACGGCAATTGTAGTTCAAGATGAGCGTTCGATGACGTATACTATCAAACTCACGAATGGATCAATCAGAGGTTGGCGCTGATTTCCAGCTGATGGCGTCCTGTCCTAAGAAACCAGGCCTTAACGGATTATCTTTTATATTCCGACCCCAACATTATATTACGAAATTCACTTTTCAACTACTGTCTCCCATTACAGTCGTAACCTTATTATCCGATGGAGCATCTTGAACAGACCTTTTACGATCGCATGATCTAGTGTGAAATCACTGCGATCTCTACCAACACCTCCTAATAGAGAGAAGTCCTCTACACGGATCAATTTAGAAGTGCAACGTAATGAGAATAAAGTGCGGTGTGGCGGGGGAAATAAAAAAAGAGTGGCTGTGGGAAGACGAGAGAAATGCCACAACGTTCTGACAACTCAAGTCTCGGATTTTTCATTCATAGTAACTCATACGGAGGCCTTTTATCTTTTTGGAGATTTTATCTTTACCCGTAAGCTAGATCTACAAAATTTGAGCAAATTTCTTTGAATACTTCCTGAGAAATCGAATTTAATGAATCTGACTTTCTTTAAATTTTATTTCTTAGGAACTATTTCATCGATTTCGCTCAAATTTTGCAGTTTATTTTATAAAATTACATTCTTCAAAACAGTGCAAAAATTGTATAAAAATTTTTGTATTTCCAAATTTTTTCTACCATTATTAAATCTAGTGATGAAATAATTATCTATTAAAAGTACTTTTTTTTGTTGCATGGAATCAAATTTAGATAAACGAATTTTATAATTATGTGCAAAAATTTTTCAATTTGCTTAAAAAGTTCTCGAGATATTGCGAAATACCCAAAAAGTAACATTATGGCTTCCAAATTTTGGAACGCTCTCCTAAACGAATTATAGGAACCATATTTCCCCCATTGACGCTACCCCCTATATTTTGGGGATCAGAAATCCAAATCCGTTGAAGTTAAGACATATTTATACAGAAAAAATACATTTTGAGTCTGATTTCGTAACATGAAATATCTTCTGCACATACTAATTAGGTAATTCCTTCGAGCCACTAAGATTGCGTCTTAGAATGTGGAAATCCGATCATTAGGTTAAAATTTATGCAGAGTGGTCTGTTTCTTTGGCGCACTGTACAACTCATTGAATTTTAAGCACTTTCTGACGATATTTTTTTCACTCAAAACTTATACCATATTAATTTCATTCGCTTTGACAGTTTGCCTGCTTTGAATTTTAGAATGTGTCATAAACCTTATTAAACCATATGCGCTATGGCATGTTTTAACTCTCAGAACATTTTGCTTACATATGCGACACTACGCGTCTATGTGGACGTTTTTTCTCCAAGCACATGCATTTTTCTTTATCACATTTACCACGTCTGTTTATATGATTGCAATGTTTGATGCATTCCTTCTCGTTACTAGGGCAACCATGCCCTTCCTTTCCTTCGACGACTGAATCTAAAATATAATTTTAAAAAAATAAATAAAACAAACGTCACAAACTTAACAGAAGTAATCTCTCTCTCTCTCTCTCTCTCTCTCTCTCTCTCTCTCTCTCTCTCTCTCTCTGATTATGAGATATAATATCATTCCATTTGATTAAAGGAGTGGTCATCAAACACCAAATACCAAATGAATTTTACTTTATAAAGAAACGTCAGCTATTTATATCGTGATTTTCGCTTAATAAACTTACTTACAATTGTATTTTTACAAAGTATGTGGCACGAATTATAATTCTGCAAATCAAGAATTTCTGTTAAACTGACTATGACAACGAACAGAGAAAATATCAAAAAAGTGATTGAAATGCCGTAAATTTTGGAGTTAAATACCGGAAGTCTATGATTTTTAATAAAAGGGTTTACTATAAAAATGTGTTGTTTTTTTTCTGTCAGAATTTTTTCTTCAGTGTGATCATAAGTTGTTTAACTTAACCCCTTAACGATCGGTTCATTTTTAAGAAAACAATCATACAAGTGCCTATTTTTCTGGCTTTTGTATTTGTATTACGTATTTGATTAGTGATGAAATCTAGTTTAAAATAAACTGACTATCTACAATTACCTTAAACAATATCCTGGTACTGCTATCTGGTGTGTAAATGAGAAATAAAATTCTTTTACGGGCAAAAGAAATGAATTAGTTTTATTCTTATTGGCGCGTTACTACTGATCACTACAGCCCGTCAATATCACGGAAGCGAAAAAAAGCGGGCGAAAACTCAACCCGTCATTTTCACGGGAGCGAAAAGGATGGGATTAAACAAGTATTCGATTCCATAATAGTCAAAGAATTACTCTGTATTAAAATATTTCTGTGAATTGTAATTCAAAACTGTTTAGATGCTTACCTAACACTATGACCAAAACAGTTATCAGCAATAGAAAAGTAACCAACTTCATCTTGCTCGTTCAGCTTAACTGCAATTATAAAGAATTACTGAAGTTTATACGGTATGTTTCGAAATGAATAAATCTAAATCTCTTCAAAAATGAAGTGAAAAAAACTAAGGTCACTAGGAGTATCAAAAGAAAATTTAAGTTTGAATAAAAGAAAAAACCATCTATAATTTTAGTCACTTATTATTTAGAAGAAAAAGAGCAAAGAAGGGATGAAAGCCATAAAAAGTGAACTTCCTTATTTAATGTTTTTTGCACTGTAAAAAATTACAGATCAAACTGCGGTTAAAAGTACTTGGCACCCTGTACCGTTAAAAAATCTGAGTAACGATGAACCAAAAATTTTTATTCATTTGCAGTCTACATAAAATGGAGCTCCATTTTACCATTTTTTTGGTATTGTCCCTAACTCCAAATATCAGTAGAAGGTTGAACAAAAAATGGGTGCTTTGATGAAAGAACAAAAAAATGATGAAAGTGCAAAAAAACGTTCCTAAACATCACAGTTACTGCATAAGAAGAGGCCAAAACCAGAAGTTTAAAATATAGTCGGTCAATTAATTAATTATAAATGACTTTTATAATTTTTTTTAAATAGTTTGTTAAGTTATATTTGCTAGTTTATATTTTTGTTGTTGTTAATATTACCTTATTTTTTATGATTTTTGCCAAATCCGGAGAGGTTAATTTTTACTTTACATTTTTATTCTACTTTGGCTGTCCCATCTTGCCCGGATGGTACATTTTTTTTAAAAATTAGCTGCAAATTTTTTTAAACAAATAAATTTTAATTTTCACTCCTTATTATGTTTGTACAATAATAACACTACAGTGCCACAAATTTGAAAAATTTATTGCAATGTATTAAACAAATAATAACAGCATACAAACCTGGAAAAATATTTTAACACGTTATAAGAAAAACAAAACAATACTTGCATTTCGGTAACACCTTGTGAACTGACGAAAAAACTTGTGCGTATTTAGAACAACAATATTTACTTTCATAGAAGAAAGAGCGATGTCCCGTCTTGCCCGGGTGTCCCGTTTTGCTTGGGCTTCCTCTAGATATGCCCGATACTCCGAGACCAAGTTGTAAAGAAGACGTAAACAAATATCGTTCATTTTATAATCACCGTCAAAGTTTTGTGTCTTTTACTAAATTTTGGTGCAGTCAGTTGCACCATGGAAGTATTTCTCGATCATACTTCACAGTTCATGGTGTAACTAAAATAAGATGATCTTTCTAAACTTTGGGAAAATGAGAAACTTTGCGCTAAACATTGGTTAAAGATTTACCGAGCTTTTTTTTGACAGTAAGAGAGTAGCATGCGTAAAGTCCATTTTTATCGTAAATTTTGCAAGATTATTTTAATTGCAGTGATTCAGTGATTTTACAGTAAATGTGACTTTAAAAAAAATTATATTAACTCCAATTTTTTTTTTATTTCGTAAAATCTTACGATTAAAATGGATGATTTTATGGTAAAAAGTGCCAGCATTCAGGATCTAGTCCAGAACTTTTAAAAGTAATATAAGATACAGTCGATGTTTGCTCAACCCAATTTTTAATCTTCATCTCGAAATAAACTTTCATTACGAGATCCTGAAATTAATAGAGAACACACACCTTTTAAAAACCCGATTGAGATAAAATGGCCAGGGTGTTTTTTTTTCTATAATTAAAACATACCACATAAAAAATAATGAAGTAAAGAAACATATGCTAAAAACTACAAAATAACTAGTAGTGCTAGTTAAATTTAATGTGAACCACTGAATATTCAAAATTTTAGTACTTCTGGTGGCTGACTAATTAGAATAAGAAGATTTCTGCTGAACACTGTCTTAAAACTACCTCTTCTGAAATTTCTTCCAGGGTTCCTAAAATTAACTTAGAATAACAAGCATTTAATAATATAATGGTTATGACTCTTTCTCGTTGAAGCGTAATATTAAATAAGAAATAAAATAATAAATAAAATAATATGCGCTATTTAAAATTTTAGAATATATGAAAGATTTACCTTACCAGTCTATTAAATTAAACAAACAATTCAAGAATGAATTTCATGAAATTTGTAGAAAGACATCTAGTATATATAGTTCAGAATAAAACTTCCATTACAAACAGCAAAAACAAATTTTAATTACTGATATCATACTCTATTTAATTGAAAGAAATTATCTTTAATTAAGGCTCATTAAATAATACTTCATTAAATATCTTCCAATCTTCATTAAATAAGGTTGTTTTTAAAATTTTTAAATTAGATATATTTGATTCTTTGCATTCTAAATTGTGCTGACTCAATTTTATTGTAAAAAATCATATTATTAATTGCTTTGAAAAGGCATTAAATAATACTTTTAATACTTCTATTAAATTAAATTCATTAAATTTTATCTACTGCATTTTTGATTGTGTGATTACATTGCATTTTACAGAAAGAAAAAGTTTTTTAATGGATAACTAAATGCCTGTTCATTTCATTAATTAAGGTTATTTTCAAAGCATTTTTAGTAAGATGTATTTGATTCTTTGCATTCTAAATTGTGCTGACTCAATTTTATTATAGCCAATTATATTTTTAAGTGCTTTTAAAAATCATTATATGAGTTAATTAAGTTCCTCTTTTTTAATTAATTTAAATAAACTTTATCTATTGCATCTTTGACTGTGTGATTACACTGCATTTTATTGTATGCATGTTTGTCGTACCGGATGAAAAAAGAAGTAACTGATGAGTAAATCATTATTAATGAACAGTATAAGATCATGAACAAAACTGAAAGATATATACCGACACAATCTTCTTATTTTTATTATTTGTCGCCCTTCCTGGTAGCCCTATGCTATCAGATTAATCAAAACATGTTTGTAGATGTTCATCCCTTCAAAGTAAAGATTGGTTATATTATTGCACAATACTATTGCTCATTGTCAACTCTTGATAATCAAAAATTATGGTATTGTAATAAATAAAAATTATTGCATTTTTTTTTTTTTTTTGTTGTTGTTGATAAATGTTTTGAAAGATGAGTTTACTTTTTCAGCTGAAATAGTTCGCCTATTTCCTCAATGCACTGATTAGCTCTGCTTATTAGCAAATTCCTTTTAAGTTTTGAAGGTATAAAACATGCTTTGCTTCCAGATGGCACCCCTATTATAAGTCTAGGTCTGGTTTCTTAGGAAAAGCGCCTTATCTGGGCGTCAGCGGAAAGTTGACGTCCAGCTAACACCAACAAAATACTGGTTTGTTAGCTCAAGGCTTGGTTTCTTAGAACTAGAGCCTTATCTGGGCGTTAGCGGAAAGTTGACGTAGAGCTGATGCCAAAAAAATACTTTTTTGTTAGCTCAGCGTGAGCAGTCGGTCCAACGCAGACATTACCTCTCATTGCGCATGCGTTAATAACGTAAACAAATATTTATTTCGAATTTGTATTGATTTTGTTACTGTCGACCAGTGTTTTAGAGAACAAATAATGGCTTTGTCCAAGAAAAACACATTATAGCTGAGCTAAATGAAGAGTGTTATGTTTAATGAAGAAGCTGTGTTTAATGTCAAAATCAAAATCTTGGCTGATTTCAATGTGCTGTTGGATGTTGTCCGCCATTGCTTCTGTGGTTAACGTCACGTTGTAATCCAACTGCAGTTGAGTTGGACGGCAATTGTAGTTCAAGATGAGCGTTCGATGACGTATACTATCAAACTCACGAATGGATCAATCAGAGGTTGGCGCTGATTTCCAGCTGATGGCGTCCTGTCCTAAGAAACCAGGCCTTTAAATTTCATAATAGTAGTATTGTTCTTAAATTTTAATTATCTTTTAAAACTTAGATTTTTGGAATGAATTATGTGTATTTAAGTTTATTTATATTTGTACTGTTTTATCACTTTTATAAAGTATCATTCAATTTGTGACTGTTTTTATCATGGAACTTTTCTTTTGTTGTGACGTTCACGGGTGTTGCGCTGCTGCTCGTGGGAGAAAAGGTCTGTTTAAGATTCATTCGCATTGCTGACACAAGGATAAGAGATGGTGAAGAATAGCTGAGATGATGAATGAACTAAGACCGGAGCCGCTGAGTGGATGAACGAAAGTGATAAGCGAAGTTAGGCCGGATCCGCAAGGTTGGAATCGGATTGCTTTTCCAAGTCGACCCATTGCTGATCCACGGGTGCTTACCGCCATGCTAGAAGGAAGCCTGAAAGGAGTTTGAGTGTGCTGTCTATCAGAAACTGGAATGTTGACCTGATACACGGGTCTGGCGGCGGCAATACCGGTAAGCGTTCCAGGGATTCGGTCCGTAATTTAATTTAAATTTAAAAACTCTAAGTTCGATTTTAGTTCAGGTTTAAAAAAATAATTTACCTTGACTTTTAATTGTTTCTACTAGATTTAAAGACAAATGTGCCTGTTATTTTTAATCGTACTTAGAGGATTTAGGGAATATTGTGACTTTCATTTTTGCTTGCATTTTATTGAAAATATAATTTAATATTGCTAAATTTTAAACCTGAAGTAAATAATAATTAGTTATTATGTGATATCTACTTAGTAGCATTTGGAAATAATTTAAGTTTGCTTTTGTTCGAAAAATTTTTGTTTTAATAAATTTGGTTGTAAATGTTAAATGTTTCAAGTAATTTCTTTGTTGATTTTTTTTTGAACCTGGGTAACACTGTTACCAAAGTTAATATATTGATCACAGCATAGCGTAAAACCTAAATTTTAGAGGTAACAGTACATATTACATATATGCCTTTCCATGGCCATAAAAACCTATTTTCTCAAAGGTATCTCGATATCAATCTTAGTACATTTAGTACTTAATAAAAAAAGCAATTAATATGATAGCAATTAATATACCTATTACTAAAATTATCGGAGCAACATTGGTGTCAATAATAATGAGGCATTTTGTTTATGGTTTTTCTATATAAACAAGTTCCTTTTCTCTATTAAATTTGCATTTTAATACAAAAATTTTTTACCAAAATTACCTAATTGTAGTTCTCAAAAATAATTTCATACGTTATTAGAATTTTATTATATATTTTTACACAAAACCCTAAAATACGAAAGAACATACAATAAGTACTAGGGTAATAATTATTTTAATTCCCTCCGAAAAGACATAAGTACTGGGGTACCCTAATATCACCGTCCTACACATTCATGGCACCTGATATACAACCATTTTTTTATTATTCGTTGTATAATTCAGTGAGACTTCATATTATTAGATTTTTCTATAATCTTAGTTAGAAATTCAAAAAAAAATCACTAAATCAAGTATCGAAAATAAAATATAAAATATCATAAAAAAATCACTGAGAGAAATATTAACTAGAAATTGTGTTCAGTCTTAGTTTGAAAGCTACTTTTATAATTAAAGTTTCAAAAATGTCTACTCTATGATATTTTTTGACAGATTTTATTAAACTATAATTTTGCACCAAAATTGGAAAAATCTTAAAGATAAGTATTAAACAATACTTGTTTGCAAAATTTACAGAAGCAAATTTCTCTTATACTGAAAGAAAAATAAAACAAAGCGACATCACTCTCAATGATGATATGGAATATAATTATGGAATTTTTCGAGCACAAAAATATTATTTATACAATTAAAAAGATTCTGTATCAATCGTTAAATAAATTCAAACGACACAAAGTTTCAAAGCCTAAAACTGTCCACATTTAAACAGAAGGTAAAATAATTAAATGATAATCAAAATGCAATTAGGAAATCTCTCACTTTAAGGCAGTTCCTCGAAGGAAGATAAAGAATTTACGTTTAGAGTGCCTTACTTGAAGCAAACTTTCAAATTTACACCAGTATGGGTCATTCTTTAAAAACCTAACAATGCTCAAACGAAATGTCACAAGATCGGCTTAAGATAGGAAGTTGCTATTTTTCATACTTTTAAGTCATAATTTACCCTATGCATCTAAAAAAGATTCTTCATTTACAATTTCTTAAATGGTTTTTAAAATTACTTAAATGTCACTGTCCTAAAAGTTTTTCTTATACTTATACAACTTATTTAAAATTCTTGAAGCCAATATTTCAATAATTAAAATAGCATTAGTAAACTATTAATGTTTGAAGATATAAAATAATATTTCTTGAATCCGTTTAATTATTTAGCTGACCAGGATGTTTCCTTTGAAAGTTGCCCACAAGGTTGACATTTCATTTGGCACAGAGAATTTCTATATTATTTCAAGAAAAACTATATATTGTGAATTTTTAGTCCTTCTTCTATCACTGTTTATCCCCCCCCCCTTGTTGAGTTGATTGAGAGTTTTCAATATCTGCTAACCTGATGTTATCATAGCTTTGAGCTTCTAAAATTAGGCGTGGAACAATTTCAGTAATCATTCCACTCTGCAACGGTTTTACAGTAGATGAAAATATTTATTTTAAAAAATAATACATATTTTAATGTGTAATAATTTAATAATATATGATTATAATAGAAGCCTAAATCTTCCATTAGAACTTAGTAACAAAATTATCTAAAAAATGCTACACTCCTGGTATGCAAAAAATCATATTAAACAAAACATTATTCTTCAATAAAGCTTTATTTCATATGACAACGATAACTTTGAAAACTTTCTTTAAAATCAATGAATAATTCACAGAATGAACATGCTTTTACGAACGCTAATACAACACTTAAGTAACTTTTCAAACATTAATAAATTATTTTTCCAACGTATTTCATATTCATTAAAACTGTGGTTTATTTCTGCACTATTGGTCAGAAATAAGCCACTGTGGCATGGTACACTATTTTCATAACTGACATAAAAGACGATTGCGAAAATTTATTTTTGCAAAAATTGATTTTTTCAAAAACTTTTTCCACTGAACTGCTTAGCTGCTTAAATAGTTCATTATTTTAGCAATTTTAACAATAACTGTTTGCTTTTAAGAATAATGTATCCTAAATTGCTTTTTTGTATGATTTGCAATTTTCTTGATTTTTGTATAAATTTCTTTACCTTTAAGTTATCAAAAAATATATATAATTTATCAACAAAAAG